AAGAACAGCAGTGACAGAAGGCTTTGGTTAAAGCCAGCAATAAACCACTTCCCAAGGAACCCCAAAGGCTTGAATTTCCCATTGGGAATGTTCCTGGGGAGATCTGCTCCCTCCTTATGGTTCTCCTGGCTACAGACAAAACTGCTCCAGTTTGTTGGGAATTGGTGTTTGCAAAACACACCCAACTTCCAAATATGAAAGGTCAGACTTCTTTGGGATTTTAGGAGTCTGCTGGTGCCTTTATGTCCCTTTGATCCTCCCCAAATCCTGGGATTTATTTGATGTTTCTGGGCACTGCCTGGGGATTGAGGTGTCTCTGAGGCTCTGCTGCCCCATGAAGGTGTGTGCCAAGGTTAAAGCAGGTTTTGCCATCCCTTTTTTTTTCAGGTGAACACTGAATCCATCCATAACCAGTTTGTGCACCTGGGGAATTTGCCAGATGATGGATACAGGGAGCTGGAAGTGGTTTGTGTGGGGCTTCGCTTCGGGAAGGTCGACCATTATGTTGTGCTGAAGAACAAAAACAAGGTAAGCACATTAAATAAATTCTGCAAAGGACCTTTTGGGGAGGGGAAAAAAATTAGGGTTTTCGTGGGGGAAACCTGGGAAAAAACTGGATTTCTGAGGAGGAGTGAAAATGCCAGAATTGCTAAAACTTTTGTTTTGGCACATTTCAAAGGCAGTGACTCACTCTGCTCTTTTATTCAGTTTTCGTATTTTCATGTGTAAATCTAAAAATCCAACCAAAAGCTGAGGTGTTTTCAGCTTCAGGCCACGGGGTGGAACTTTTTAAAGGTGACTTTACAAAACCCTCGTGGCTGGAAGGTGAGGGGTGGGAGGTCCCAGCAGGGAAGGTGCTTTGCTGGGCCTGTTCAGGAGCAGGGAAGGGGAGGAATCTCAGCTGTTTGCAGGCTGTGCTCTGCTCCCTCCAGGCCATCCTGCAGCTGGACACCCCCAGGTCAGCCCGCTCCATGCACAGCTTCCTGCAGCAGTACCCCTACAGCATGGGGGAGCACACCCTCAGCTGCTCCCTGTCCCCACGGGGGGACCCTGCCCAGGTAACTCCTGCTCTGTCTGCCCTGGGGCTTGAGGGGATGGAACAGCCTGGAACAGGGAGCTGGGGTGGAACAGGGAGCTGGGATGGAACAGGGAGCTGGGATGGAACAGGGAGCTGGGATGGAACAGGGAGCTGGGATGGAACAGCCTGGAACAGGGAGCTGGGATGGAACAGCCTGGAACAGGGAGCTGGGATGGAACAGCCTGGAACAGGGAGCTGGGATGGAACAGCCTGTGCCCAGGGAGCTGGGATGGATCAGCCTGTGCCCAGGGAGCTGGGCTGGCACTGCCACTGCTGCCTCGGGATCTGCTGCTGGGGATGGGACTGTCCAGCAGCTGGGAGTGGCTCAGCCAGTCTGTGCTCTGGGATGGAATCCTGCAATGGTTTGGGTGGGAAGGGGCCTTAAAGCCCATCCAGT